AAAAAAAAAACGTAAATTTTGTTGTCGTAAAAAGTAGGTAAAATACGATGAAATATTTAATATATAAACGCCCCAAGAGAAGTGACCTACTGTCACAAAAAAATTTTTTTAAATTTTCAGGTCAATCCTAAACGTTAAAAAGTATAAGGCTGATTCAAAATGAAGGCTAAACAGGTAACAACAGAAAATTGTATAACCAGTAAGAGAAAATTGTAAAAGCATTTACTTGTGCAACGCATTTAACAAATTACTGATAGAAGATTAAAAATTTAACCTTCAAGCCTGTAATAAAAAAAGTGATTCTGATCTTGAAGCGATGTAGATTAAAAATTACATAACTATTAACTGATACATAGAAACATACAATTATGCAACTCATACCAAGTGTCTTTTTCGTACAACTGTCATCTAGAAGAAAACGTTTTTCTGAAGACAACCGGAATAACTCTTATCATAATAAATTTTTCAGAAACCTCTGAAACGTTTTGTTAAATAACGTCAAGCCATTGTTGTTCTGTTTCATTGCCTTTCTAAACGACGCAGATTATTGCAGCGCTGAAGTAAAATTCAGATTTTCAATGCGGTTGTTCGACATCTTTGTTTTCACCTTCTTTCTAATTCTTGATAAAAAATTTTGGCTTCTAGGTAAGCAAATTTTTTTTTTTTACATTTTATTTTTTGTAAGTAATAAATATGAATTTGAGCTGTTGCAAAAAAAACTGTTTCTCAAAAAAATAACAGCTTGCTTATTGCAATCGTATTTTATTTATTTTATTTTATTTTTATCTTCTAACTTTAACAGCTTTTCTAGAATTAGAAATTGCCAAAAAAAAGACAAGTTGTTTCTTCTTGTTTCTTCTTTTTTTTTTTTCGTTCTATTACAATCTCTTGTTGTCATAAGCTAAAGTGATAATGCAGGTAAGCTTCAGCTGAAGATTAGACGACTATTTCACTATAAAACTACAAAAAAAAAATTTTAGCAGTTTTTTCAACATAAAGTTTTTATTAGTTTTTTTTTAATAAATATTTTTTACACAACTAAATTTTCATGTTACAGTTTTTGACAGTTATAATAAGAGCGGAAGAGATTGGTGACAAAATCAAATAAGAATTATTTCTGAAAGGGAACAAGTAGTACCAAGCGTAAAGTTAATAGTTCAACTACTAATAATTTTCAGTGAAAAAAATGTGGTAATCAGAACGGCTGCTTTCAGACTGTAAAAAACTGGGGTTTTTTGGTGCAGTAAATTAGTTGACAAGTGTTGATAATCTTTTTCTGAAAATGCTTTACGACTGCTTCTCAATATGTGTAGTTTTTTTTCTGAGATCAGTCAATTCTAATAAACTTTTTAAAAAACTAGTATTTAAAGTGACTGTGTAACCAGGATGTTGAAATTGTTTTAAATTAAACACTGCTTTTGATACATTGCAAGAAAGCTACAAAATGTAGAATATTACTATAAGAAGCTATGCTTCTGCTGTATAAAATACGGTTGCATAAAATTTATTTTTTATTCACTAGCAGAATGACGTTTCAGTGCTTTTTTTAACGTCTCTTTGGAATCATCTCTCTTTGGAACACCCATAAACGTCTCTTTGGAACACCCATAAATAATCAGTTGTTCAATTGTGCTACCGTTGTGACTAAATAATAACAAAATGCTAGTATTTTATTAAGTTAAATTAATACATGTGACTTTAGAACTAACTCTTTATTATACAAACTAGAGTACAATAAACAGCAGAAAAAATTTTTTGCTTACAAATCAAGTTTTTCTTATAGCCAATATTTATGCCTGTTATCAGTAACTATTAGAACAGAGAAGTGTCAATTTTTTAAATCTTAAAAAACAAATTGTACAAAACAAAAAACCTTAAGAGCTAGCAGAAAACGTTTAGTAAATTTAGTAAGTTTGAAATGCTGACAGTTTGAATGATATGTAGGTAAGTCATCTGTTATGAAATTTACATAAACATATTTTTTGCTACAAACTGTATTCGGTAATTAACAGACTGAATGTATCAATCAAGAGCAGTTTTTAAAAAAAATATTTTTCAAACATCTAATTGACACTGATTTTAACAGACATCTACAGTAGCAATATTCAACCAAATAAAACAGTAATAGTGTTTTTTTTCTGGTTTTGTGCACGACAGCATAATCCATTAAAATTTTTGCTTACAAACCTTGTAAAAAAAGAAGAAAAAGAACACCCAAACATAAATATCTGTGTTTTGGTGCTTTTCTGTATTCTGTAAAATATGTCAACCTTATAGGTTCATGTTTATGCTTTGTACATCATTTGCTAAGCTATTAATGTTCACAAATATAAATTTAAAACTTGGATATCATATTTCAAAAAAAGAAAACCTTGGGGTTGTCAAACTATATTTTAGAGCAAAAAAGAACAAATTATTTCAGCCGCTGAGCCCCAAAATGAAGCAAAGTCGAAATACGGTAAGTGAAAGTTGTATGCTTTTATAGCCAGTGTATCACTTTTTTTGTTTCTATTTATGTAACAGGAATAACCTTAATGAAGGCTACAGTGCTTTGTGGAAAGAAGAAGAAAGTGGAGTCTTGTAATTTTGAAATCTATAATAGAGTAATATTGACAGTGTTCAAAACAAAAATTATAAACAGGAATAAATCAAAGGGAAAGTAGAGCATGGTATATCTGGTTGAAAAACTTTAGTTGAAAAATGTTGAAACAAAATTTCAGCAAGCAACGGTGCATGCGAATTTGAAAGCTTGCATCTATATGAATGGGAACCTAGAATCATAATCAATCGTGAAATTCGTTCCTACTACTGTTTGTATGAAGTTCACGTAAGTGATTTAAAGAAAAAAAAGCTGTTTAATGAGCGACTAAAACAAGTTTGGCTGTTATTTAGTAATTTAAAATTTAGAACTCTTCCTTTTTTTGTTAAATAAATCAAAATTAGTTAAAAATTTGTGCTAAAGACAGACAACTATAAGTGGTGAATATTAACATTACTTCTGTATTTTGATTAGCGTTAAAATTTATAAACATTTTAAGCTTAAGCAGTAATTTATTTTAATTATTCCAAATCAAACTGTACAGTTCAAGAAATTAATGTTTTAATTTTTGTTTTTCTGTTCTGTTTTAGTTTACTAGTTAATTGAGCTTGACTTGTTATTAGATTTATAAAATTGAACTGTAAACGCAAAAACAAGCAAAGAAAAGAAAAATTTTAGTTGAGTTTAACTTGCAACAATTTTGTTTATAATTTTTGACCAAAAAAATAGCTTTCTTAAAAGCCTAATGTTTTATCTACTGTAAAAATAATTAAGCAGCCTTTCTAAGTTAAAAAAAAGTTTATAATTTAAGTGCCAAGAATAGTATGTATGCTACAGCTGACAAAAAAAACATGATTTTACAAGAATTTGACGTTGACAATTGTTGTTTTTTAGAAGTTTAACACTTTTCAAAATTTCAACATTTTTTGGAAATTTTTGTCTAGCCGCGCTCTAGTTAAGACAAAACACGTATAAATATTTTTATTATTATATTAATTATTATTAAGATAAGAACGACTATATATTTTGAATCAAGTGATGGAGAGATTGTAGGACAGCAAGATTTGAAGAGACAAAGTAGTTGAAGAATTATGATAAGACAAAAATATCAGCTGACAGCGACATCTGGACGTTATCAAAAAATTCAAACACAAGCTAGTGTAAGAAATCTCGAAAAAATTTCTTATTTTGAGATGGAGTTTTACAGAGTTAATAAGATCAAAATAGACAATAAATGACAATATAATTAGAACGCAGAACAAATCAAGCCGCAACCAAATCCAACCTGTCAAGGTTTTCACAGAGGATGCTCATTCTTCTGCCTGTCGCTTCCAACGAACTCACGATAGTGTCGGTTTGATAGTTCTTTGTCTACCGTTCTTTTGTGTAAAGCATTCATGCTAATTACTCGATCTAGCTAATTTCGTTTCTACACCGGCTCTTTCTAGATTTCTTAGCACGTTTTCTTTACCTCTTTGTTGCACCGCAACACACTCCCGACTGCGGAAGGATCCGCAGACGAAACGGCATCTTTTTTCCACTACGCCATCATTTTATTCATCTTTTTGCTTTCAAAAGACTGCTTTTTAAGACAAAATCAAATATTTTGAGCGTTTTCACCAAATCGTAACTCATGAACCGAAGATCAATACTGCCGGCAATGCGAATGATCATCCTCAAACTTTAGATAACATCATTTACAAAACAAATTTAAAGCTCGCTGGCTTGAATTATAGGCTGCAATTAGAGCCAAATGAAGTTCACAGGTGGATTGATAACAGTAGTCGCCTTATTCTCGCTATTGATTTTGCACCGAATAGTTTGCCAAAATTAGAATGGAATGTATAGTTTTTTCATCCGCGCTTGGGTTTTCTGCGAACTGTAAAACTGATTGCTTGAACTTCAAAAGATAGTACCGATAGGTAAACTTCAACAGAGACGATTTAGACGTGACGGAAATAGGGCTTTCAGAACTTGTGGCTGGATCTCTGCGTTGAGCTGAGAAGAATTGGACGGAACAGCAACATAGAATGATTTTAAAAAAGAGGTATAACAAAAGAACAATTTAAGTACATAAGAAGTCAGAAAAAAAAGGACAGGAAGGAGTAGTTACGTGAGGTATTAATGATACATTTTGAGGTGAGGTCATGTACTTGATAATATTAATATAAATATTAATAATAATAATAATAATAATAGCAAAAAGTAAGTTTGAAAAAACTTGAGCGTAAAAATATACAAAAAAATTTGAAAAACGAAATAAAAGTAAAAAATGAAAAACCAGTGTAAGCAGGCAATGTATACATAAAATGTATGTAAAAATTTAATTTAATTAACAGCTGAAGATTTTTTTTACTTTTTTTCTTGAGTCTGGGTCCGGGGTCTTCTTTGTTCTCCTATCCCAACCAATGTACTATTCGTCCAGTTCCGAATAATAGTTCGGATAGTAGGTCAAGAACCGCTACCATATTGTCGACTGATTCAGGTTGTTCCAGTCGCGTATAACAGTAATCCCTTCCTTGGCACGTGATGAGACAACAGTAGTGCCTATTTCCTCCAGTAGGAGTTGATAATGTTGTTCATGCTCAATCTCTTCACGTCCTGTCCAAGTTGTCACTGGAACGACGGTATCCGCCTCGCGGCCCTGAAATTTATTAACAGTATATACTTCAATCTCTCGCTAAACCAATTCAATATCGGCTACAGATGCCCAACAATAACAAAGGATTACAATGTGAGACTAGGCTATTCTTTTCTAAATTATACCTCCACGTCTCCACAGCCGCGTCGTGTTGTAAGTGCCTATGACGACTGCGGTCATCGCTTCACACCTCTTTTTCAACCACTTGTATGGAAAGAGTAAGGTCTCTGCAATACTTCTCAGGCACGTTTAGGTGTTGTCATTGTTTGAAATCAGATGTCGGACGCCCAGAGCTAATTTGCCTGTTATATGCTGCTTCTGAGGTCTCTGCGACTAGGTTTGGGTGACTTCTGTAGTTGACTTCAAATTACAACTTCTTTATTCGCTGATTAAGCGTCAGTTGATAAACCGCGCCTCTTTGGCTATAGGATTTTACTGATAAGAGTAAATTCCCCGTCTATGCTGGCAGTCGGCAACTGCCTCATGTAATGGAAATTTGCCTAGTCTTGGACATGTAGGTTAGTAGAACCATTAGCTTAACTTCTGCAATTAATCCAGCTTTATCAAATAGTAGATAACGCAGCAAGTACGAGTCAAAGTTTTGCTCTGTCTTGATCAAGAAATTGTTTATCATTGGTTTCGTGCTCAAAGCGATTTTCGGAGAGTCTATGAGGCTAACGTTAGCACCTTTCCTTCTTTATACTTTTTGTCAGTCTTTCTGTCTCGCTGTGCTACATCTTTCGAAGCTAATCCCTGTGAAGCTAGAGAATGCAGTAGTTTTGAAACTTTCTTTTCTTGATAAGCTTTCAATGTATTAACCAGTTTATACTGCTGCCATTCGCCAAAAAGTCCCCCTAGTTACAGGTTGTCCGCCACTGCAAATTGCAATAAAAGCATGTCTCCGACTGGTATCTTAGGCACGAATTGGCATATTCTTTTTACTATAACTAAATTCTTCGGTGTCGTTATCACGATTAGTTCTTGCCCTTGTCGTTCCTGGTTTTCCGGTATAATTTCCGATATAATTCATTGACGTAAGCTGCAATCACATAACTTTTCCCGGTACCTGCTGGTGCTTTAGGAAACATCACGGTAGACTCTCTTCTCAATTCCAACATTACCTTTTCCTGCTAAAGACCAACTTGAAGATTCCTTCGGTACCCTTCTGTAAATGGTTCCGATTCCCTCTCTTCCCTTGCTTTCATAACCCATGATTGTTTAAGGATGTGCTGTTGGCTTGTACTTTCTTTCCCAGTAAGTTTTTCGTCAATTTTCTGTTTTTCAGAGCCAGTTTTTTTTCTGTTTTTTTTTATTTTGAACCCTGTATGAAACAATTTCTGGTGTATTTTCTGAGTGATTAAATGAGTTACAGTGTCTTCTCGGGAAAGTAGAATTGGACTGTCTAAGGGTAAATTCTTTGTAGCTTTTTCTATATCCTCAATACATCTCAGCATTCTTTCTTGGTCTACTAATCCAAATCTATCAATAAATTTGCTGTGCCACCTTTGTACAGGGTTCTTTAAAACTGACTAACCAGTACCTTCTTTGTATTGCTTTAACAATAACTTTAGTTGGTTTTATTAATTCTTCTGAAGAAATTCTTCCCAAATCTTGAAACTTCGCGGCTAATTGCAGTTAATCTTTATAGTCCGTAATCATAATTTTGTTGTATGTGACGATTTTAGTATATCGTAAGCAATAAACAACAACTCGCTTCAAATGAAACCTATTTTTTATTTCAAGATGCTCGAAAAAAGTTACAAGAAAATTAACAATCAATAATAGAAATAACAAAATCAAAGAAATTGAAATAGATAAAACTACAAAAGAAGAGGTTAGCCGGGTGGCAATCGAAATGAACGAAGATGAATACAGCGGTAGCGATAAAGTAAGGCAGGGCAATAATTTTGTGAGTGGCGGGTTTAGCAATAGCTTGCTCCCCTGCGGTAGGCGAATTTTTGCAGGTTACTCAAGAACAATTCTTGGTTCAAACTGCCAAGAAGTTAGCTAGAAATGCTTCCGTTGTCAGTCAGTTCTCGACGTGGCGTCTGCAATGCCAGTGGTGTCTAGATCCCAGAAACGGTTCACATCTACACTCATATTTATGAATGATATATTTGAAAGTGTTTGAGTCGTTTGACAGACCAATCCTGCCACTAATAGCCCCAAATGAGAGTAGATTAAAAAAGGCCATTTCGCGACTTCTGGCTTAAAATACCGAAATTGTAAAACGGCCTCTTTTTAATCCACACTCAGATGGGGCCATTAGTGGCAGGATCGGTCCGTCAAACGACTCGAACACTTTCAAACATATCATCTATAAATATGAGTGTAGACATAAACCGTTTCTGAGATCTAGACACTATCGGCATTGCAGACGCCACGTCGGGAACTGACTGACAACAGGAGCATTTCTGATTAACTTTTTGGCAATTTGAACCAAGAACTGTTCTTGAGTGATCTGCAAAATTTGCTTATCGCAGGGGAACAAGCTACCGCCAAACCCGCTACCCACAAAATTATCGCTCTGCCTTACCTTATCGCTACCGCTGTATTCATCTTCGTTCATTTCAATTGCCGCCCGGCTAACATCTTCTTCTGTAATTTTACCAATTTCAATTTCTTTGATTTTGTTATTTATATTATTGATTGCTAATTTTTTTATACTTGTTACTTTGTAACATAAACTAATAATGTCATTTAAATATTACACCATTTCTTTGTAATAAAGGTTTAGTTACCTAAGTTTGAGGTGTAATCATATTCTTACGCACTCAACGCTTGTCTAACGACAAAACGGATTAATAGAAATATAGTAAACTTTTCCCCTTCTATCTTTTTTTACAGAAGTGTTGTTTACCAGTTGTAATTCCTTTACGACTGAAAGTAGCATTGTCGAATGTTCTAAAAACTGATAATTAGATGATTCAAACAAATTGAATTTCTCAGACAGCTGTCCTGGTTCTTTCCGCCAAACGGTATTTTTAAATAACTAAGCTGTAGTGCATCCTCTAGTCAGAGTGTCTATTGGATTCTCTTTTCCTGCTATATGCACAAATTTTATCCCTTCCGTATTACGAATTTCACTGACCCAATTTTCAAAAAATCCTGATAAAGTTTTAGTGGAAAATATTCAATCTGTTACGCAGGATGAGTGCGTTCACAGAAAAGTAAAATCAAAATTTATTTTCATTTTGCCACAGACAAGCTTAAGAGCTTTTACGCTTATTAAGATTACGGGTAATTCAACCTAGGGATAAATATCTCTCTGCTTGGACTTAACCTGGGCTTAACAAAAATCAACTTGCATGTCCATTGGTAATCAGTCAATGTTCAGACGTAAACCGCTGTTGCGCAGCATCTTTGCGATAAATCGGTGAAGGTACGTAATATTTTCTACATTGATTTCCATCTAGGTCACTAGTCTAGGTGTTTTAAAAACTTCTTGATCTTGCCAGTCATCGTATATCCGTGATCATTCCTACTGATTCTCTAGAAGCATTGTTTCGTCTCATCCTTGAAAGGATCATCAGAGTATTGACTATAAGCGTACTGTAGAATGTCATTATTGTAAAGCAAGTATCACAGTCGCACTTTATTCCCAAAAAGGAGAAGCAGCTAAAACTAAATAAAGGCTACGGCAACTTGATTTAGGGAGTACACAGCTTGAAAGCAGCCAACAGTACAATGACAAAGCAGGTAAAATTATCTCAGCTAACAGTGTGGTTTTGAAAACAAGCTTGAATAAGCAAGAAGCTGCGGGGAATGATAAACCACCTGTAATTGTAACCCGTCCTTGCTCCCCACTCTCTGCACATTCTTTTCTTAACCCAGTGGTTAATGACAGAATTGAGTAAACCTGTATTGTCTTAGACGTATTACCTGAATATAATTTTATCTAGTACAAATTTGATTCTATAAAGTTTGGGAACGAACTACGAAAAGTATAAAGGGCTAAGGTCTCATAACTCATCGCCTCAAGCTATAATTTCATTGTAAGCGCTTCAGTTACAAATAATTTTTTGCTACCATTGTTCATAAAGACGTGTGCTTCTCTAAAATGTGGTTTGATCTCTGCTGGGTTAGCAACCTGCACTTTAGCGGTGAACAACAACGTCTTTGCTTGATTTTCCACCAGCATTTTACAATTACGGGTGGTTCATCATTCCTTGTAGCTTCTTGCTTATTTAAGCTTGTTTTCAAAACCACACTGTTAGCTGAAATAATTTTACCTGCCTTGCCATCGTACTGTCAGCTGCTCTTAAGCTGTGCACTCCCTAAGTCAGGTTGCCGTAACCTTTATTAAGTCTTGTTCGCTTCTCCTTTTTAAAAATAAAGCGTAACTGTGATACTTGCTTTACAATAATGACATTCTACAGTACGCTTGTAGTCAATACTATGATGACTCTTTTAAAAACGCTTAAAATAAATTTTTATATCAGCAATCCTCTTTTTCCTCTTTGTCAATGATTGATTTTTGCAGCACATTCATCACTGGAATATTGTCTTGAACAAATGTGCATTTCAAATTTTTTTCGTTATCTTTAGCGACTGGTGCAATTGGACACTTTTTATTGTTACTGCTTTTTTTCATGTCTGCATTTCAATACTGGAAAGGCTGTATTGCTGTTTCCCTCGTTTTTAGATATTGGTTGATATTTTCTAATAACGTCTCCGCTCCGGCACCTTTCTTCTGCTGCATGCTGACTTGTTCTTCCTGAGCTTGCCGCTCATTAAAAGCCTCTACTATGTGCTGATGCAGCTCAGCTTCATGCATGCGTACAGTTAGAATACTAATTAAAAGTAGCATCTTGATGTTTTAATAAACTTAGTAATTTTTCTGCTTCGTTGCAAAAGCTCTTAGTTGCGCTGAAATGCTTTTGTGTCTTGGTGATTTTCCTAACTAACTGTAAGGCAATTGTTTCATGATACGAGGGTCTCCAAAACGCGTTTTTAATAGATCTTAAATCAACTCATAATTAGCGCTAGATAGTGATAGCTTTTCTGTGGCATTTATTGCTTTTATTCTTCAAACATCCTTTTAGGTAGGAAAACTTCCGAGTTGAGGATAAATTCTTAGAGTCTACGTATGCTATAAATTTGCCCCAAAATCCTTCTCAGCTCAAGGGATCCCCAGTGCAATTTTGGGAAGTTTAAGTTCAGTTTGCTTGTGCAGACCTACATCATTTTCTTGTACTGGTTAGCCTTCATGAAGCTTAACTTCTACCTTTCCCTTTCTTTGCAATGCCCCGACCAAACGAGAAATCTTTTCTGTTGCATTTGTGACCTTTTTTATCATTTCTAAGAGGCCATCATTTTTCGCGTTTATTGTTCTTATTATTCTTCTTCCTTAATCGCCACCTCTAATACGCAGCTCTTGACGAGACCGCTTCTAAGCCCTCTGCTAATCTTTTCTGAAATTTTGTGAGAACCAATCGAATGGCGCTGCTGATTGTGCAACTTAATTTCCTTATTTGTCTCACTTACTTTTAAGAAATTTTAGAACAATCTTATCCTGTCCTGGCGTGGTCACCACTTAAAGATGTTGCAACTAATTCAACGTTTCTCTAGCCGCGCTCTAATTAAAACAACACCTTTACACATTTTGTATTATGTCATATTAATTATTTTTGATATACAAGAGACTACATCTTTTGAGTCGAGAGATGGCTAGATTGTATGACGGGTAGGGTTAGAAGAGGCAAAGTAGACGAAGAAATTATGATGAGACAAAAATATCAGCAAACAGCGACATTGGCACGTTATTAACAACATTCAAACACAAGCTAGTGTAAAAAATTTTAGCAAAGTTTCTTACTTTGAGACGGAGTTATGCAGAGTGAATAAAATCAAAATAGACAGTAAATGGCAACAAAATTAGAACGCAGAAGGAATCAAACCGCAACCAGATCTAACTTTCCAAACCCTTTACAGAGAATGCCCATTTTTTTACTTCTGATTTTTAACGAGCTCACAATGGTGCCGGTTTGGTGGCTCCTTCTCTGCCGTTCTTTTGTACAAATCATTTATGCTAATTGCCCGATTTAGCTGATTTCGTTTCGTCACTGGCGCCCTTCAAACCTCTTAGCATTTTTCCTTCACCTCTTTTTTTTTCATCGTAACAATTTTATTTCGATTTTAAAACATAAAAAAGTTGCAGACTTTTATAGGATTACAGTTTACAGTCATTAAACTAAGATTGGTTAACGAAATCTGCTTCAAATTCTTCAAAAAAGCTGATATTTTTGAAAGCAGTAATTTAGCTGCTGCAGAGAGAGCTGTGTTGCAGTATATAAATTTATTCTGCAGCTGTTAATGTCGTTAGCTTTTAAAAAAAAAAAACTTCTAAAAAAATTCCAGAAATCTTTTTATCATTTGGATTAAATCTTCTTTTAAAGTTTCTTTTCTACAGTTTTTCATAAAACAGTTTATAAAACTTAATTTAAACTTTATTATATGGTATAGATAAAAAATGAAAACGGGTATAAGACAATATTTTCAAAAAAAAATTGAAATAAACATTGGCTAATTAAGACTGTTAAAATTGGACCTTTTTTTAGTATTTGTACCTCGATAATACGATCTTCTTCTTTAATCTGACAGGTGATAATCGACCACCGATGACAGAATTTGGATTAGCCGAAGCCGAGTTGTATTGTGTCAGGAAATTTAATGGACATCTGCTGTACATTCAGGACGCTGCAGAAGAAAAATTTATAAATGGTTTTTGTCTTACCATTAAAAGAACTTTTTTTACGTTTATTTTTTTTTTCTGTATTATTTATAAATGCTTAACAAACAAAGAATTAGTTATAATGAATAAGTAACAGTCATTATCAAATTAAAAAAAAAATCATTTTTGATTTTGTAAATTATAAACTGCAAATATAAAAGCAACAAAAAAAATTTATTTCTTTTTTAAATTACGAATAAACAATAACAAATGAAACAACTTCAAATTTATGAAAACCAACCAAAAGTCTACCAAAATTTAGACAAAAAAATGTTACATTTTACAGTTAGCCACACGTATATTCTCAAATACCGTTCTCAAGATTTCTATAGTTTCTTTATTATTATTACTACTGCTACTTCTTAATTGTCATTTTCAAAAGTAAAAAAGTTTTTGCAACAATAACAGTGTTAATGTGGATAATTGAAAAAGCTGATCAAATATGATGATAAAACGGTTTTTACTGTTTACAGATTTAACCGGTTGAAAAAAAATTATCATTTTCTCAACATTTTCAATTTTTTTTTGTTCTTTTTTTCTTTTTACTTTTTATTTGAAAAACCAAAAAAAATTAAAGGTGAAAGAAGTAAAGAATTTTTATTACAGATATTTTGTTAGAAGTACGTAATGCGAACAGTACAGATGACGGATATGTGGTGAACATCTTTATGATAGACAATCACACAGATATCAACTATGTTAGACGTCTATCAGAAAAGGTTGAAAACAATACCTGTTTCAGGCTAAAACCAGAGTCTCGACCATACAATGACGGTTTGACTTAGACGGCTTTTTTTACTCTATTTTTCATTTTTGGGCTTTCAGAAAAAAAAGTTGTGCTTTTTTTTTTCTCTCATAATCTGCTACCTTGGTTTTGCTGAATTGCTTCAATCTAAGAATTTTTCAACTCTTTATTGTTATTTGCTGAACTCTCATATACTTAACGTTTTTTGCTTACAAAGCAGTTTGGTGTTGAAACAAAAAAAAAAAAA